GTAATCTATGCAGAAATAGAAGTATAATGATGTACACCTGACATTTATACAATGTTATAAACCAATGTTACTGCAATAAACAAAAAATTAAAAAAAAAATAAAAATAAAAACAAATTGGGCTGGTGCACGCCCTACAAATGACAATGAGTTCTATTAAACCTATTCCAACACAAGTATTACCCTGAACTTGTAAAACTGGGCTAGACATATTGGGAACAAATTTTACATATTAATGTCTGCTGTTAGATAAACAGAATCATAAAGATCTAGCAGGGAAATGGTTGAACAGAGAAATAGCTAAATAAATTGTGGTATATCCAAACAATGGAAAAAAAAAAAAATCCCAGCTCCATCACCTACTACCTGGGTGACCTCGGGCAAATTACTTAACCTGTTTGAGCCTCTCTCTTCATGTGTATGTAGCACACATGTATGCGTCAGGTATTGTTCTCGGCATTCCATTCATACTAATTCATTGATTCCTCACAACAACTCTATGAAGAAGAAACTATTATTATCCCCATTCTATAGATGAGGAAAATCGAGGCAAAGAGAGATTAAGGAACTCAGCCAAGATCCCACAGCCAGTAAGTGGAGGGGCCAGGATATAAAGACAGGCAGTCTGGCTGCAGAGTGCCCTCTCCCCTTCAAGCCCTGAGCTGCCCACTACAGTAGCCACTGGCCACGTGTGGCTGTTAAGTACTTGAAATGTGGCTGGTCTGAACTGAGATGTGCTGTAAGTGCGAAATACACTTTGGATTTCAAAGACTTAGTATAAAGAAAGAATAGAAAATATCTTGTTAATACTTATATTGATTACATGTAGAAATGATAACATTTTGGATATATTGGGTTAAATAAAATGTATTATTATGATTTACTTGTTTCTTTTTACTTCTTTTAACATGGCTTCTAGAAAATTTTAAATTACATTCGTGACTCACATTGTATTTCTATTGGAGAGTACTGTTCTATTCTGACCTCATAGCTTGATGCCAGCATTAAATCAATCAATACGCAGACAGCACCGAGCACAGAGCCTGGAACAAATTAAGCATCCAATAGCTATTATTAATATTAGTGAGGTCAGTGGTTTTCACATTCTATGGTCAAATTTTTTTTCAACCACCATCTTATAACAGATAAAACGGGAGTTCTGACGGAAGCAGAGGCGATCTCTGAGGTCTCTTCTTCAGGGACCCATTCACCCTGGGCACCACCTCTACAGGTTGGAAACCTACAGGGTTAAATGATCTTTAAATGTCCTTCAGGCTTTAGCATTACACGTCTATAATTTCAGAGAGATGAGGAAGCGGTATTGGACAAAATCAAGGGGTCTACGGCAAGCTTTAAAAATGATCAAGGATCTTAAATGTTCTCACCACAAAAAAGAAATGATAATCGTGTGACATGATGGAGGCATTAGCTAAGGCTACAGTGGTAATCATATTGCAACATATAAGTGTATCAAATTAACGGGTTGTACACCTTAAACTTACTCAATGTGACATGTCAATTATATCTCAATAAAATTTAATTAAATACCAAAAAAAAAATCATAGAAAAACACTAACATTTTGTTTGGAAGAATCAAAGTGGTTTGGTCCCAGGTCTAGACACAGTCCAGAAATTGGGGTAGAATGAACATGAATGGGGGGAGAAGGTCACCTATGGGCCCCTGATCATTACCTGCACATACGATCCCTACACACCATGCACCTCTGTACTTCTGCTCCTCACAACCTGCCGACTCCCCATCCACCCAGAGCCCGGGGAGGCTCTGGGAGCTAGCTCTAGGCACCAACATCGCGAGGTCTAGCTCCAGGGAAGGGCAACAAGTGACACTCAGCCCAGATACCACAATGACTGTGCTGTCCTGAAGGCAACTCTGGGCTGGGTCAGCCCGGCGTCTGCCAGGCCAGCGTCCCAGCTCTTCCTGCAGCCCTCGCCCCTGGCTCTGGTGTGAATGTGTGGACGGGGACAGCAGCCAACTCTTCGCCGGGCTCTCTAACAAGTTCCGCAAGTCTGTTTGTTAAAGAAAGATTCCAGTGAGTGCATCCAACACATGGAACTCAAGTACAGAAATTATATTTATCCGCCCCACTGCCAAGGAGATCACATGCCCCGTGAGTCACTCCAGATGTGCTCAAAAACAGAGTCTGTCTGTGGAAGCCCAGTCCCCCAATCCCAGAGAGAGTCGGATTAACAGAGGTCCCAATTTCTGCCCCTGCCCCCCCAGGAAGCAGCCTCTGCCTCCACCCCTCTGAGGCGGGAGAGGGCATCTCTGCACTTCTGTAAGGGAAGGGTGGTAAGAACCATATTGCCGCACTGGGAGGACCAGTACGGCCATACCTGTAGCTCCTGGGGTCCCAGTGGGTTTGAGGGTGACTTTTCACCTTTTTGGAGGAAAAGATGTGTTGGAAGACGCTGCTGCTTCTGCTGTTGTGTTACGATGCTCAGGCTACTGTGGCCCACAGGTGGAGCCGGGGTGAGTCGCTTTTTATTTATTTGTTTGTTTGATGCTCATTATTCTTTCTTAAATACAATTAGGAATTTGGCAAGGGGGAAGAGTGGAGGGGGCGGAAGGAAATTAGAAGCCCCACGCCCTCCTTTTATCTCGTCTCTGCCAATGGCTTTATGCTTCTTGACATGTTAGAAGTGACGGGAAAATGACACTGAAAAAAATCAGAGCTGCTGAGGGGCCTCGGTCAAGGTGGAGAACACAGAGGGCATCCCTTCTGATCTGCCCAAGAGAAGTCATCTTTGCTTCACAGAACGTGGACAGACCCCCTGGAGGTCCCCCCCAGGCTGCTGCAGCTGGGCAGGGCGCCTGGAGAGCAGGTGCTGAGGTCTGATGCTAACATGATGGCATGGTGGGTGCTAGGATGTAAACGGTCACTACCTGGGGAACCTGACAAGAGGCCCTGGGCCGCGCTGCTCAGTATGGAGGTCTCCACGCTGCTTCCCTACCAGGAGTGGACACATCTTTCCAGCTGGGCAGACCTGGCCCAGAGGCAGGAGAAGAAGGGTAACCCTCCAGCAGCCACATGTGTGCCCGCCTGCTACTCCCGTCAGCCCCGCCGGTCCACCTGGGAAAGGAGGGGGTCCGGGAAGACCTTCTCCCTCACGGCCAGCTTCCTTTCCCTCGGATGGCATCCTTTCTCTCTGCCCCAGGACTGGCTCCAGTTGGCCAGCGCCTCCAGCCAATTAGAGTTTATCACTGTTAAAAAGGTAAGGGATCAATAGTGCAGACCACCCCCTCCCCATCTCAATTGAAATCTTTCCGCTGCCTAAAGTCATCTGAGGTCTCTCTCCCGGAAAGAACTGGAAAAAGAAGTCAGGCTCGTAGGTGTTTCTAGAGACCCAAAATAGGCTGGCATGGTAGCATGAGGATAAGCCTCCTGGATCTCAAGGAGAGTTTCAGGGAAGGAAGGAGCAGCAGATGGATCTGAAATTGGGGGAGGGAGGGCGACAAAAGCCACAGCACCTGTTGGGGTTTTTATTTTCCCCTTTACAAGCCTGAGATTAGGGACTCGCCAGCTCTCTGAGCGGAGCTGTGAAATGACTGTTGCGCAGAGACAAATAATTAATGTAGCCTTTTCCTTTCTTCTGATAACATTGCACACACCCCTCCCTGCTCGTCATGTGCACAAACTTGGAAGCAGAGAGCAGAGACCTCAGGATTGGGTTCTGCCACTTACCCCGTGTGACACTAGGAAACTTCCTTAATTTGCCCATTAAGAAAGAATGATAAAATCCACTCTTCCTAATGCACAGGCTGTTAGAAAACCAAATGAGATGATTTGATTTGTAACGAGGTTTATAACACCATAGCCACATCATGAGCTACCCTGCAAGGAACTCAAAATTTAAGTCTGCCTCTATTTGGCTGTGTGATCTCTGGCAAGTTTCTTAACCTCGCTGAGCTTTAGTTCACAAAGGTAACGTATTAATAATAACAAAACTTACCCTTACCGTGTTGTTGTGAGGGTCATAGTCAAAAAGGTAAATAAAATGCTTTGTAAATGAAGAACTATGTAAATGTTAGCTATTACCTACCACTCAAAAAAATGAAAAAGCTTCAATAAAGAAAGTTTGAGGTTCTCAACAGACAGGTCTATAGCAGCATTCTGGGAGTAACTACTCTGGCCCCATCCCCTCCTCAATGGGGAAAGTCTGCCCCCCAATAACAATAACAATAACAATCTCTATAAAGATATGAGGCCAACAGCTGGAACAGAGGCCAAGAGGAGGAGGCTGGTGTTAAATGCCACATTAGTGGTTCACAGCAGTGTCAGTCAACAAATGACAGGAAGCCCCTCCAACCATCATCAAAAGTCTTCCACGTAGATATTTTTTCATTTTTAACATTTTTTTCTAATTTTAAAAGGACACAATTTCCATTTTTTTTTAAGATGGAATGGGAATCACACCCAAATAAAAAACTATTTTTCAAATGTGCTTCTTGTTCCTTTCACCTTGATCCTGACCCCAACCCCCACCCCCACCCCAACTCCAGGCCTAAGTTAGAAGAATTCCCTTTTGAAATAGTCTGAGGGTGACCTCTCCCTACAAGATCCTGGTCCTCCACTCATCCCTAGCCCTCAGACCCCCACCCTCTGCCCACAACCCTCACCACCACCCCAGCCCCCGCCCTCCCCCACCCGCCTGCCCCCACATGTAGAAATGTAGACATAAACCCAAAAGGAGTACACCCAGCTGTCAGGACATCCTTTTTCCTACCTTTCTCCCAGTCTCCCCCTAAGAAGAGCGCTCTCTAGGATTCCCCCCTGGGAGGTAGATTTCCACGCCAGAATGGCTGTTCCAGGCCCACCAACTTGATTAAGACCAGATGACTCACCTGCAGTTAGCATGGCCAGCCCAGGGAAGCTGGACACACCTGGCCCAAGTCCCAGCCCGCCTCAGGACCTGCCAGAGCACCACCTGGGGGTTTGGGGGGCGCTAGCCAGTCTTAACAAAAAAGAAACACATGTATTAATTACTATAAATATCTACGTTTTTATTAAATACATGTAAATTATTTCTTTTAAAAGCAATTTCATAGGGAAGGATGGCCCTTAGTTATCTGGTGGAATTTATGTCATTTTCAGGTGTCCACTTTAGTGGTGTGTGTGTTTTCAGTCATGAATGTTCCATAAAGGGAAGGGTCTGTGGTCGGTGTTCAGTAAGTATTGACTGACAGACAAACTGGACTAGCATTACTGAGGACACCATGGGTGGCCACCTCCTTCACTCCACGGTCACTGCCAGAGGCAGGTACTATGCTGACCATTCACAGGTAAGAAACCTGGAGGATGGGGAAGACCTGGATCACTTAGTAGGAAGGAGAGAGCTGGATTTTGACACTCACCCCCAACCCCAGGTCTATGGCATCAGAGTCTGGCTGTCCTCATCCATCCCCTCCCCATCCCTCTCCATCCTTCCAGGTGCTCCCGTGCTCCCCTGTTCCCAAGAGCCCCGAGTTCCCCCCGGGGTGGCGGGATGGTCTGGCCGAAGGAAGCCGCCTCACAGCAGCCCTTCCAGAAGCGCTCTCCAAGGACCCCAACGCACGGGGCCAAGATCCAGGCTCACTCAGAATATCACTGCGTTTCTACAGGGCTGGCCTGGGAGCAAAAAAGTAAATGGTATCAGTAGGATCTGGCAAAAGATCTTTTAGAAACAAGAGCTTTCCTTTCCACACCCACGGTCGTTTCCATAGAGTTGCTGCAACTGATTCATTAAAAATCTGGTTGCATTTAGACTTGATATGTCTGCAGCTTGAAGATTTTCCAGCAAGCCCTTTGATGCAAATGCTGCGCGTGGTTAGATAGAAACCGTGGTTAGCCTTAATACTGTTCTGCTATAGTGAACCCATTTGCGGATTAGGAAGAGAGAAGAGATTTTTATCCCAGATTATAGGAAGTCAAAGAGAAGGTCAGGCTCAAAGCAAAAACAGACTCCTCCATTTAGGGAGGCTTCTGCCTGTATGAATGAGCGAGACAGCTTGGGCGGGCTAAGATGTGGGGGAGACAGGGGCCAGCCTTGACTGAGATCATTAAAAGTAGCTTCTCCCAGGGACCGGCCTGGTGGCGTAGTGGTTAAGTGGGCACGCTCCGCTTCGGTGGCTCGGCCGGGGTTCACAGGTTCGGATCCCAGGCGGGGACATAACGCACCACTTATCAAGCCATGCTGTGGCGGCATCCTGTATAAAGTAGAGGAAGATGGGCACGGATGTTAGCCCAGGGCCAGTCTTCCTCAGCAAAAAGAAGAGGATTGGCAACGGATGTTAGCTAAGGGCTAATCCTCCTCACAAAAAAAAAAAAAAGTAGCTTCTCCCAGACTGGAACAGGGGATCCTCAGAGACAAAGGGAGGGCATGGTGGAGACAGGAGACAACATCTACTTTCTGATAATTAGCCAGCACCTGGAACTGCAGATAAGTTCTAGAATCACCCTGTTAGAAAAAGAAGGATTTAGTGAAGCACTGCATTTGAAAAGAAAGGAATTTAGTGACAAGGGTAGTTAATGTGTTTCTGTGTGGTCAATTATTCATTCAACAAACAGTCATGAGCAGGATGGTAGGCACTGGGAATGCAGCAGTGGGCAAAACTGACAATGTCCCATGCCCTCGTGGAGCTGACATCCAGTGAGGGGAAACAGACAATAAACATATACGTAAACAAGACATTTGATTTGTTGGATGGCAATAAAGTAGGGACAGGTTAGAGGGTACAGAGGATTATAACTCTAAATAAGGCAGTCAGGGAGGTCCTCCCTGAGGAGGTAACTGAAGACCTGAAGGAAACGTGGGCGTGAGCCATGCAGTCTCCGGGGAAAGAGTGAGTATTCCAGGCAGAAGGAACAGACGTGCAAAGGCCCGGTGGCAGAAGCATGCCTGGTGAGCTTAAGGAGCAGTGAGGAGGCCTATAGCTGGAGTGGCATGCGTCAGGAGAGAAGAGCAGATGAGTTCCAAGAGGTAGTAAGAAGTCAAGTCAGGTAGCACTTGTGGCCATTGGAAGGTCTTGGGCTTTTACTCTGAGTGAGATGGAAAGCCACAGACGGTTCTCGGCAGAGGAGGGACATCATCTGACCTATGTTTTCACAGAAGTGCTTTAGTTGCTGTGTTAGGAACAGAATGAGGGCAGGAGCCAAGGATGGAAGCAGAGACGTTGGTAGGAGAGGTGCTCGAGACGTGGACCAGGCTAGCAGGGACGTGGTAGGAAGTAGCTAGATTCCAGATATATCCTGAAGGGAAGGCTGACAGGATTTGCTGACTAGTGGAAAGCAGGACGTGAAAGAGAGAGAAAAGGCAAGGATGACCACCGAGTTTTTGGCCTGAGCAACTGAGAGAGATGCACCTACAAAAAGATAGCATGGTTCACACTCTCAGCGAGAGTGGGTTTTGGAGCCTGCGAGATCTGGACTTTAATCTCAGTCCTGTGGCAAACAGATTGAGTGGCCCAGGGCAAGTTCCTTCACCTCCAAATTTCTTCAACTATACAATGGGATGTTAGTACTTACCTCCCAAGGTACGTGTGGAAAGCACAAAGCACATTAACTGGCACACAGTGGGCTCATGAGCTGTTATTCTGTCTGAGCTCCACATTTTAACAGCTTTGGTCTGAGGTCACAGTGTGTCTCTCAACAGAAGACATGGACAGAACACACTGTAACACGTGAACTTCTGGACCCAGTTCCTGGACTGACTTTGTGCGTGTGGTGTGACCATTAGCAAGTGAATCATCTCTTCTCTGCTGGTCGGTCCAACGTGTCACAGACACTCATCTGTCCAGGGAGTCAGGCACCCGGGAGAAGCTCAAGGCTTCCCTGCCCCAAGGCCAGCCTGTGGAGCAGACCTTCACGCAGGGAGATATGGGAGTCTCCTGTGTCCATTGGTCACACTGAGTGGCTCTCGTGGGCACATTCACATCCTGAAGAAACAGCTGGAGAGGAGGCTGGGTGTGGAATGTTGAGTGGAGAAGAAAGAAACAAATTGGCCTAGCTTTACAGCAAGCAAAAGGTACACAAAGTCGGCGATTTAGACATAATTGTCCAAGCAGCCTTCCTGCCTGAGGCTCAACACTCAGGTGGCTCCTGAGGGAGTGGAATCCTTCTGCTAGTCTCTGGTCCCCCACCCACCCCTCCGTCTCCTCCCTCAGAGAAGGCGCCATTGTTAATGGCCGTCCCATGGGGAGCGCTCCGCTCTCCCTCTTCTCGGCCTGGCGAAGACGGGGCTGCCCACAGCTTATCACTCCAGTGAGGAGGGAGCCGAACGTGAAATGACCTCCACAAATTCAGGCAATGGGATGCAAGGGAAAGGAAGGAAAACCAGCAAAGCTCCAATGGCAGAGTCTCCAGGGATGTTTTGTTTTATTGTTGTTTTTTTAGGACCTGGTTTATTTTTAAAATCATTCCAAAATATATAGATTGAGCCTGCAGTCAGAGCCCAGCTTTATGCAGACACCGAGGTCAAGCAAAGGAAGCATAAAGCCCATTCCCTCCCTGCCAGGAGCTGGCGATGGCTGGCACGATGTGAAATGTGTAGCACGGATGCAGAAAGCGTAGGAGGCAGAGAAGGAAGACAACGGTGTACTGCGGGGTCACAGGGCAGGGCTTCCCAGGAACAGGGCTGTTTTTCTAACCACGTGGGGGCAAGTCTAGTTTAAAGCTTTGTGCGTATGCATCTCGGAGTTGGTCAGCTCTTTTTTCAGCCATTCGCACTTCTGGCAGGGTCATCGTTATGGACAAGAACGTCTGGAGTGACAGTACAGTTAACTTTTTACCCCAGTTGTTGACATGGACCCGACAGAGCTTATTTCTCGCCCACCACCTGCAGCATCCGCAGGGAAGACGAATTGATCCTCTCCAGGCCTCACTCACGGGGAATCAGCTATGGGCAGCTGCTGGCACGTCTGCCCAGAGCTGGCTGCACTTACCCAGCCCAAGGGGTCATAAGAGCCTGTGCCCAACACACACTGTCAAAGCAGCTACGGCAACATGAGGGAGGCCAGCAGAAGGCGGTAGCACGATGTGGAGAATGGGAGGAAGGAGGGAGGGCTTCATCTTTAAGATTCCTGTGCTCCCCACACACACTTTCTGAAGCAATAATTGGTCCCCTAGTCTAGAGGCTAAAGCTATTTCTAACAATCGTCCAAAACGGTGTTATTATTTTAAAAAGTATGAGAACAAGGGCTATTGGAAATGACCACGTTTCCATTGTTAAGCTCAGCCTTGAATCAGGAACTATTTTCTTCCTGGCTCTTTGAGAACTAGGCGTCCGCCTGGGGTGAGCACGTTAAAGAGCGTTGCCCTTTGTTCGCAGGGAGACAATGGAGTGAAGAAAGTGCAGGTCTAGCTGTGAACAACTTCCCGGGAGGCAACCATCTGAAGTCAGAGATGACGGCAGCAGAAAGGGCTCCGTGCCTGGGACGTTCATCCCCTCCCATCCCCTTCACTGGCTGGGGTGTGAATTTTTATAAAGGGAACAAGACTTTTAATTTCTCAATAAGAGAGAAGAATTAAAGAAGTAAAGTTGCTCTCAGATCCCACCCAAGAAGGGGGTTTCACCCACCTTTCATGGTAGGAAGAAAGGAAGGACACACAGAAAGAAAAACTGGCTCTGGACCAGTTCTCGTCCTGGTGTCACCTCCCACCAAGGGGAAAGCAGGGTCAAGTGCACTCCGTCTTTGTGCCTCCACTCTTTTGCCTCCAAGAACATGATGGCCTAGGTCTCTTCAGATGACCTGTAAGGCCCCATAAGATGGGAGTGAGCTCTGAACGTAGCAGGGCACCACTGCTTTGCTGTGGATCTGGAAAACCCAATGGTTGTGATTGGAGAGATCTTAGGGCTTGAGGAGGCCTTCGCCTCTGTTGACTCATTGCTTCTGCCTGTAGTTTCAGGTAGAGCTCAGGAGAAGGAGGCATCTCCTGTTCCACTGGTTGGCAACCTTGACCACACATTAGAATCACTGGTGGGGCTTAGAAAATACTGATGCCTGGGGCAGGCCTGGTGGCATAGTTGTTAAGTTCACATGCTCCACTTCAGCAGGCCAGGGTTCACTGGTTCAAATCCTGGGCATGGACCAACACACTGTTTGTCCAGCCATGCTGTGGCAGCGTCCCACATACAAAATAGAGGAAGATGGGCACAGGTGTCAGCGCAGAGCCAATCTTCCTCAGAAAAAGGAGGAAGATTGGCAACAAATGTTAGCTCAGGGCCAATCTCCCTTACCAAAAAAAATACCGATGCCTGGGTCTCAGCTCCAGAAGTTCTGATTTAATTGATTTAGGGTGCAACTGGGACAGTAAGATTTTTAGAAGCTTCCTCATGCTTCTAATGGCAGCCAAGGTTGAGAATCAGAGGGAGCTTGACCTGAGGTTGTATAGAAGGAGCTGCTGGGGCTGTGTGGCCGCTCTCAAGTTAGCCCAGTGGTTCTCAACCTTGACTGGATGTACATCAGCATCACGTGGGAGATTTTAAAAACCCAAATGCCCAATGCCACCACCAGGCCAATTCACGGGCATCTCTGGGGTGGATGTAGCATCAGGACTTTTTACAGCTCCCAGGTGATTACAACGGGCAGCAGGCTTGACCATCATTCTGCACAGCGCCCTGGTAGGTGGAGGGGCTGTGGAGGTGCACGGGGCTGTCTGCTCCAAGCCTGATACGACCCCAGAGAGCTGAAATTCATAATGACTATTCCTACACTCTGTAATACCCTGTCTTCTCCTTCTCTTGTCCTCAGTCAGTTCCTAAATCTTGCTACCCCCTCTGCCTCTAGCAGCCCATCATCTTCCTCCAGCTACCACTTCTACACGCAGCTGCTCAGGAACAACACTGGCAAGTCATCAACTTTATGCTAAATGCATTTCTAAGTCAGCCGGCCCTTGCAGGAAACCCTGAGCTTGGCTCCACACACCCCTGGAGCCAAGTGTCAGGGTCTGTGGCAGCTCTCTTCCTTTACTTTGTCACCTGTGTTCAGATTCTTGGCAGCTATATTTTAGATGGCTGGGGCAGCCAGAAGTCTGAACCTCTGATTCTAAGGGTTGTGAATAAATATAAACCAGCACTTCACATTGATAAAATAAAGTGCTAAAATGTGCAATCCTATTAGGGCACAGGATTATTAGGGAACTCATTTGTTGAATTTGGGGTTTTTTGTTTGCTCATTTCTATTTTGTATTATTTTGTTTCATTTTAGTATAAATTCCCTAGAGTATACACATTCCCAGACATACATATTTTTCAAAACTTTCTGGGGTGGTTCTGATGAGCAGCCTGGTTTGAAATCACTGGTCTGAAATAGTAACTTCTGACATGCCTGGGAGCTCTCTGGGACACACCAGGGTTGTCTGTCACATCTCCCTGCTTGATGTCCACCGCCACTTCCAGTCGGTCACTTCAAGGCTGGCTAGCTAACCTTAAGGTCAACAGGAGGAAGAAGGCCAGTGTGTACGCGGCAGCCCGGCGAGCTCACTCTTGTGTCTTTCAGCCGTGCTCTTCCCTGCTGCCCATCGGCCAAAGAGATCCTCGTCGATGCCGCTGAACCCCGTCCTGCAGACCTCCCTGGAGGAAGTAGAACTGCTCTACGAGGTAGGCAGGGGAGAACGCGGTCAATTCTGGTCACCCAAAAGGCACTGCCCCTTCTCTATGATTTTTAGAGGAGAAGTGACCCGAGCCCCTGAAAATGAATGGCCTCTGCTGCCACAGCGACTGGCCTAGACTAATTTGTGGAGGTCATCGAATCCTGCCCATCCCAAAGTAAGATATTGCTCATACCCCCTCTCCTTTCCTGCATGCCATGACAGGAATGATGGCATTAGGAGCTCAGTTGAGGCAAAATTGGAGATTAGGTTTGGCTCACAGAAGCCACTACAGCCCCAACAGCAGAGTGGGGCACCCGGTGAAGGCCATGAGGCAGGACTCGGCAGTAGCACTCAGGCGATGCCAAGCCAGTGTCTGCGTGGAGCCGTGTCTCCAGGAACTGCACACTGTGACAGCCCAGCTTCTGATTCCTGGGGTCACCCAAGACAATCACCTCTCACACTTCACCTCTCACACCTCCACCACTGAGATCCCACTCCCTCTCCAAACCACAGGGAAGTTTCCCAAGGCAGCTTGGTTTGGTTCAGTGGTAAGATCCCAGGTTCAAGATCTGAGCTTTAGTCCTGGTTCTGTCACCCATCAGCTTTGTGACCTTGCATAAGCCACAGTTTCTCTCTGGGCGTGATCTCCTCACTATTAAATGAGGGAATTCAACCGTGATCTCCAGAATTCCTCTCCAGCTTTGACATCCTCTGACTTCCTCCATGCACTAGAATTGTCTGGCAAAGAAAGAGCTGCTGTAGCCAAGCAGGTGAGCCAGGGGGTCGATTTAAAATCCTGCTTCAGGGAGCAAAAAGGAAAATGCACAGCCTGTGCCAAGTCTTGAACATGGGAGTCATAGGAACAGATCTGTGTTTTAGAAAGACAGCAGACAGGAGCGTGGAGGATGGATTAGAGCCAAGGGAAGACAGAGACAGACGGAAGAGTTAGAACTCTGAGTCCAAGAGGTACCAGATTCCCGACACGAGCCTGGATCTAAGCAGGGGTGCATGTGACACACCCCACCCCTACTCTTAAAGAACAGGTGAGAGACGAAGACAAATCTCTGTATCCCACTTAATTCCTAGCACAATTCTCTGCATCCTTCAAATTCCCAGCTTCCGATAAAAAATTACCCAAAATAATCAGTTCATGCTTTAGAAGATCTTTGATTGGTGGGAGGGAGAAAGGGAAGGAGGAGGTGATCTGGGACACTAGAAACAGTAAGTAGGCACTTCAATAGTGGCTTTGTACCAGGCACAGTGTTAGACGTTGTCCATATTTGTCTTATTTACTTCTAACAATATCCCAGTGAAGTATTGTCACTAATCATTTCACAGAGGAGGAAAATGAGGATCAGAGAAGTTAAGTAGCTCATCCAAGGTCACACAGTAAGTGGGAAAGTCGGAACTGGAACCCAGGTCTCTGGGATTCCAGAGCTTTTTCTGCAGCTGCCTCCCTGAATGAACCCGTGTGATGATGAATACAATGGTGTCCTCAACAATGCCCGAATGCTTCATGTCTTTCCACATCCCGTGTTTCTCACCAGTTCCTGCTGGCCAAACTGGAGATTGGCCCTGACCTGAAGATCTCCATCAAGGACGAGGAGCTTGCCTCCTTGCGGAAGGCCTCTGACTTCCACGCTGTCTGCAATGAAGTGATCCCCAAGCGCATCCCAGACATCCGCCGGCTGAGCGCCAGCCTCGCCAGCCACCCTGGCACCCTCAAGAAAGAGGACTTTGAGAGGACAGTGCTGACCCTGGCCTACACAGCCTACCGCACGGCCCAGTCCCAGGGGCATCAGAAGGACATCTGGGCCCAGTCCCTCCGTAGCCTCTTCCAGGCCCTGAGGCACGACTTGATGCGGTCCTCGGGCGCCAGAGTATCTCCCTGAGAGACACCGCCCCAGGACCATGGAGCAGAGACCAGCACACACAGTAATCCAGAAATTCTTCATTCTCGACTCCATTTACAGACACCAGCAACAAAACACATACCACCAGTTTAGAGTAGCAGAGGTACAATAAGTAACCCCGATGCCCTTTGCCCCTTGTAGCTTCCAGACAAGCACACCTGATTCATGTCACAATGTGACCTGGGCTAGAAGAAAGGGCTGGAGTGGTAATTCGAGATGCCTCCAGAGGTCGAAGGGTTTATCTGGTGACACGCAGGAGTCTAAGATATGCTTCAACACTGAGTGACAGCCACAAACACCCCAGAGCGAGGACAGAGCTAGAGGAGACATCAGAGAGGTCTGGGCTTGATGGGAAGATGGAGACAGATTTCTTTGGTCCTAAGAGATCAGGGTGCTGGGTTGAACATCTTTCCAAAGGTTCTGTAGTAAGATATAAAGAAACTAGAGCTATAGCCACATAAATACATTGTTAGTCAAGGATATACTTCTCAACTTTTCCAAAAGCCACCAAGAAGAATCAGTTAGAAAATCAGTAATTTTATGACCTCTGTCTTGACTCTTCTTTTCTGCAGGCTGGTCTACCACAGAGGAGAAACATGAAGGGGGCCCACAGAAATGCTAGTCATGCCTTGTCTTTTGAACAGAGAAACCAGGCTAATTCAGAGAGCGTCATCCTAATGAATAGGTGCCACCAATGGCCACGCCGATCTATCCTAATGCTAAACCTATTTAGCATCATCAGAAAGTTAAGTGCCCCAAAATAAAAACGATTTTCAGGTGACAGAATTTTACCCTTTCAAATGCCAAAACTTTCATTTTAGCAATATTGACTTGATATCTTTTTGAACTATACATGTGAAACCCCTTAAGCTTTTATTTAGTGTCTTTGAAACATTCTAATGAAGGAATTAAAGAAGACAATCTCTAAGATTTCTCTATTTCTGAAATTTCCACAGTCATTTAACTGACTGTGAGATCTTACAGGGAGGACACCTGGTCCCGAGAGGTCTGCTGGACTATTTGTACCAACCCTGAAAGATCCCAGGCTAAAAAAAAGAAAGAAAGGTCGCAGGCTTTGCAAATTCTGTATCTGGTGTGAGTTTTTCCGCCGCCTTCCTCACTGTCGGGCTATAAGAGAGCACTTTTCTTTGTGACCAACACAACTTGCCTTCTGCAATTTGTTCTTTGTTAGCTGCCACCACCTAAAAAACAAGATAGCGAGGCTTGTTATAATTCTCTGTTAAATAAGAGTTAACAGATGAGGGCCTCTGCTAGGAGGAAAGTACCCGCTTCTAACAAAGATTCCTCACTAGCTCGGAGATCTCTCTGGCTTTTCCGAGGTTTACAGCTGGGTTCTGGAGGCTAAAGTTGCCAGAAGTCTGGGAGGATTCACTGGGCTAAATTTGATTCTGAAATGGGTACTTAACAACTGTCATTTGCTGATGACGAAAGCTGGTCAGGACTTCCTTAAAATCTTTGAACAAGTGAGCTTTGCCCAGCAGCACAAGCTGATGACGTTTTTGGAGAAACACTAGGATACAGGAAGAAGATACTCATCATCGGGGGAGAAAACAGCTTTGCATCCTGATGTTCTCAGCTCAGAAGGTTAATAACTGTCAGTCTCTCTCTCGTTCTCATTCCCTCATTTTCCTGCTCTCTTACCTCCCTTAATGCAGACTCTGATATATGCTTTTTTGTTCAATTTTCCTCTTTCTAATGTTACGTGTTCTCTCTGACACGGTCACTCTGCTCGTCTCTTTCTTTCTTTTTATTTTAGTTGGTGTCTCTGCTGTTCTATCTTTAGGCTCGATTCTGATTATCTTTGTATCCATCTCCTGAGGCAGCTCCAAGTCTCTCCGGGTTGACGTTTGCTCTCTTTTTGTCTCTGACGCTCACTCTTTTTCAGTCTGCTTGGGGACTCACCGTCTGACTAAAACAAAGGTCAGTGTACAGACAGGCTTGGGATTGCCCAGAAGGCAGATTAGCCTCAGAGTTTACCTTCCCCATCTGTACTTCTCCTGGATGTGGGGTGGGATGGGCTCAGCAGAGGCCTCAATCCCTAGAAACCGTGCATAACCCTGACAGTCAGAGTCTTGCATCTCCCTTGGGATCCATCCTCATCAGAATGGATCTGAGAGCTTTCTCTTAGTCACCGGATGGAAAGACCCACTCTTGTAGTCCCTGCCTACCATGTTACGGTATAGATGGCTGCTCCTAGGGGTAGGAGATCTGTGAATGGGAGGATGGTTCCCAGGACCAGCAATGGTAGACCATTCACCCTGCAACCAAAAAATGAAAGGCACTTTTGTACTCATAAATCGGGGCCCATATTTATGTGGCAATATATGACTAAAAAAAATAAAAACAAGAAAGGGATGACCTTTTTTAAAGACAAACAAAAATTTCATTTTCAGTAACTACTTACTTAACACTATTTTAGTGCGAATACAAATTGTTTACCCACAAAGCGTTTTATAACAATGGTTTCATTTACATGCAAAATCAAATATTATGCTAACTACCACCACCCAAAAACCCAACTTTTTGCCCAGTGAACACTAAGTAGAAGACTGGACAGAAACGGACTCTCCCATTTTGCCTCATTAGTGCCACACTAACAGTACACACCACAATGCTGTACACACCATAATCACAGCCAAGTCACATTTTATCATATTCATTCATAGACAGAATAATTTGGGATGTGATGTTTGTAGTGGAAACCTGCCTGTGACTTATGGAACCATTTCTGCCATTTCTATACTGCTGGAAAATTTTAGGATCTAAAAGTTCTGGAAGTTTTGGCATCCTCATGGCTATCTCTGGTGTCACTCAAAAGACACTGGAAAACATCTGTGCTGAAATTTTCATCACTCTGTCATCTCACCTTGAATCTAACTTACCACTTATGTGATATGGTAAATACAGAAGGTATTTCCATAGGTAAACATCCAAAATTAAATGCTTAATAAATGACTTTACACAGCACCCCTTACTTTCCTAACCCATGTCAACGTCTTACTTTTTTTTATTGTGGTAAAAAACCCATAACATGAAACTTACCATCTGAACCATTTTTAAGGGTACAGTACAGTAATGTTAACTCTACGCACACTGTTGTGTACCAGATCTCTAGAAGTTTTTCATCTTGCAAAAATGATACCTATGGAACAACATCTCCCCTTTTTTCTCTCTCTCCAGTCCCTGGCAACTACCATTCTACTTTCTGTTTCTAAGACTTTGACTACTTTACATACCTCATATAAGTGGAATCTGTCTTACATTTCTCAAGCATTGTATTCTGGAAAATGTTCTCTTCATATGAAAAATGGATAGAGTCCTGAAGAAGAACTACTGGTCTTACCGTGTTACTCCCCTTACCTAATTTTATTTAACAAATACTCACTTATGGTGTAATAAAAACATCATGATCAAGTTACTAGGCTCAATAGAATCTTTGTTATCTCAGATTATCTCACCAAGAAATTTGAAGCGGTTCATGGGTTTTAACAATAGTGGATGTTGACTCCCACAGCTGTTTATTATTATCCAGTCTTTTTAATATTTGCCACCAAAACATCACACATGTGGTATTGTTCATTCTGAGTTTCAAAATCATCACAAAAATGAGGCCTGAATGTAGTAAATACAGTAGCCAGTCTTTAACATGCATTTAAAGAGATGAGTCATCATAGCCCATCCTACAATGGTGAGATAATGTCAAAGGGGATCTGGGCCATCCAGGGTTGCACCTGCCTGAGAAGCCAGGAAGATCTGGTTTTCTGGAGTCACTTCTCTGGTCACTTTCCCTTTAGCCTGGAGGTCATTTCAACTCGTATAGCTGCAGATCTCGGAATACCATTCCTGTGTTGCGTGAATTTAAGAGAACATGGGTTTTATAACCCTTAACTCTTCTCAGCATCTCTCAGATCAAGGCAATGCTGCCAAGGACCACCAACTATAAAAGTTTTCTTTGTTTCTTTGTTTTTCTTTTCTTTTCTTCCTTGCTCCAAATCCACGTGTCCTTTCTGAGAAAAGAGAAAAGCTTCTCCCAATCTGTCAGCAGCAGAAATTCCAGAGTCCAGTGGCTGTGAAGACCCTGTCCCTGAACTTGTCAACTTCTTCCCTGCCTACTCACCTCCTCCCTGCATACCAGCCAAAGGAAGCTCCGGCTTCATTTTTGGTAAAGAACCTCAGAGAGGAGCATCTGATCACCTACTCCAGCCAGAAAATCCACTGACACCTGGGCTGGAAGGGCCTTTGAAAAGAGATTGGCATCTAGACTTTTCCAGAGAGGCAGCCACCCTTCTCATTCTCCCTACAAGGGTCTGTGGTCTTTCTTACAAGCGGACACACTCTGCTGGTTTAGACGATTTGTATTCACCCAGGAACTGAAGCAAATGATCTTTGCCACCAGGGAGGTCTGAAAGGCTTAGCACTGTACACTCTGGGGCAAACTGCTCCAGAATTAATATTTCATTTTCTCCCTGCCACCGGACACATCATCTTCCTAAGTGTTAGATCAGCAAGAGGCCCTGCCAGAGAAAGCTCTGGGTCCTGTGGTCTGCAATGATAAAGCAGAGCTTGGGGATGTGGGATTATGTTTGCAACGATGGTCATCACTTCAGCCCGTAGGATGTTTGAGAAACAAAAATAAGCTTTCCAAGTTGCCTAGGTCTGCAGAATCAGCAGGCCCCTGCTGGGACCAATCTTGAACTGCCTTTGGAAGAGATACCGACTCATTCTTTCCAACGTGCTGATTGGCTGTGAGGAATGGGCGGGGCTACTGCCTCTGTCTGGCGTCCCATAGGTGAATGAAAGTTAAAGTGGGCCTCCAGCAAGATTTTGTCCCGTGACAACAAGGAATGTCTTGGGGATTTTTTTTCTGCTTTGGAGGCCCAGGCTCAAAGCAAATTATAAGTAGGAAACCAATTAGAAGGAAAGAAATTTGAACTGAGTTAGGGTGCCAGGTCCTGGGAGAGACGACCAGCCCCGTCTAAAGGCTGCATCCTCCACTGAGAAACTCGGGGGGCTTGTTTTAAGGGAAGGCGAGTACTAGATTTTTTAGGGGAAAAGGGTACAGGGAGAACAGGTAGGAAGTGAACCTGGTACTGCCCAAAACAGGCCATCAGAGAGAGAAAAAATGATGGAGGGCACGATATGCTCTTGGTATTTTTAATTTTTTTAAGCCTTCAAATGACTTCTGCAGGGCCGAGGAGCAGCAGCAGAGGGGCAATTTTGATTGATTAAGGGGACTTTTGCTGAGCCCTAGAATGACGTTACTCTATTACTAATCAAGCAGAGAGGAAACCCACTATGCCCCCATTTATCATCTTTTCCCACTTCCTTTTTGCTGGGCATAAAACTATGCTGGCCAATCCTACCTAAAACAGGAGGCAAAGAGCCCAGACTTTTGTGCAAACAGGGGCTGTCTCTGCCCTCCTATTCTGCCCCCAAGACAAAAGAGGACTCTTGGAAGCTGAGAAAGGCTTAAGTCTTTCTAGACTGAGCATCGAGCATCGCGAGGAGCAAAGGCATCCGGCCTGCCCCGGGCTCCGAGGGGAGGAGGAGAGCGCACGGGTCCAGGATGGGCTTGCTGAAGGGCCTTCTCCGGGCCAGGAACCTGCTGCTCGTCGTCTTCGTGCCGCTCCTGCTGCTGCCTCTGCCCATGCTCTACCCCAGCAGCGTGAGTACTGGCCTGTCCCTTCCTGGGGCCAATGGGTCAGGCGGGAGGTCAAGGAGGGGAGGCAGGTGGAGGGAGTGGGGTGCTTATGCAATTCCTCAACATGATTTTCTGTTGGTTTGAAGAAAATGGAAGTGTTTTCCTGGAGGAGGCTAAAATACTTTCTGCCTAAAAACTGCCATTTTTGTCCCTCTGTCCTATTCCCATCCCCCAACCCCATGGCCCCTAGCCAGGAGTGAGATTAAAGAAAGGCAGCAGCTGCATTGGCTGATATGTGTTACACAAATCAATGGGCCAGCCCGCCCTGGCGGGGTGTGCCGATAAGGAGAAGGATATGCTGGTGAGCCGGGATTTGTCGGAGTCCCCATGTGACTGTGTGTGTAAGAGCAACTGCGATGCAGGAAGACCTCCCAATGATGACACTGAGGGGAGGGATGAGGGAGGGAGGGAGGGGACTGTGGAACTCAGGGCAGGGTGGGGTGGGGTGTGGTCCCCAAGGAGGCTCTTGTGCACCTCGCCAGGGTCTCTGGGCCAGTCATGGTGGGCTGATAACCAGGGTTTGAACTTCTTAATCTCTAAAGTTCCCTCTGAACTTTAAGTTTAGAGCACAGGGCTGAGCATGGCGTCTTGCCCTGGTTTCACACACATGGCCCTTTGATTATTTGTACCCTGTGTGTTTTCTTCTCTGTGCTCTTGAAGGAGAGACATCAAATGACACCATAAAAAAGACATAACTCTGGACCATGACCGAATTTTTAACCTGGTTTGTGTGAGTAGAGGAGCCCCAGCTTTGGCTCTGCACTCGGCTTGCTTCTCAGAGCATCGCCTGCCTCCCTTCCCTTCCTGGCTCTGTCCCCCTCCTTCTTCTCCTCCCCCTCCTTCTCCTGCTCTCAGGGGCTTTACCCCTCCCCCGCTGGCACTGCCCTTGAGACTTTAGGAAAAATAAGCTAACAGAGGTTAATCGTGTTTGTGGGAGGGGAAGAGCGCCTTCCACGCAGCTCCCTGAGTAACTTGGTAACCAAGATTAAGTTATAAAATTAAATAGGGTGGATTAGGATGGTTCTTCTTAAAAACAAACTGGCTTAAATCTTTAGTGGAATAAATACCCCAGAGTGCCAGGGAGACGCTGATTAAACCCGGGCTGGGATTAGCAGACAGTGATTGCTGCTGACAGTTTTCCTGGCCCAGACACCAGTCAAGTTTCTGCTTTGTCCAAATGGGCTGATTTTTTCTTTTCTTTTCTTTTCTTTACATGGGTTTTTTTTTTGTGTGTGTGTGAGGAAGATCAGCCCTGAGGTAACATCCATTGCCAATCCTCCTCTTTTTTGCTGAGGAAGATCAGCCCTGGGCTAACATCCGTGCCCATCCTCCTCCACTTTATATGGGACGCCGCCACAGCATGGCTTGATAAGTCGTGCGTCGGTGCACGCCCAGGATCCGAACCTGCAAACTCCAGGCCGCCAAAGCGGAGTGCGTGAACTTAACTGCTACACCACCAGGCCAGCCTGGTTTTTGTTGTTGTTGTTGTTTTGACTCAATATCAGGTGGATTTAAGGGAATGCTAACCAAGTGGTGAGCAGGCTGCATCCAGCCTGCTCTTCTTCTCCACAGCAGTATCAAGTGCCCCCATGTCCCCTTAAGTCAGCCCCATCTTTGGGGACCATGACTCTAGGGTATAGTGTTCCCCACATTTTATTCTGGGACCCTGTCTTTGAGCTTCTTAGTCACCAGCGACTAGTGAGAAGTATCCACGAAAAGAAAAGAGATAAAATAAGTTATTGAAAGAGGCAAAATAATCTATACTGTGAAAATAAAAGAGGAGAGAAAAGGAAAGAAAGGTGAGCCTCAGCTCTGTTTGGGTCTCTAAATAATTTTTGAAGAGATTTTTAAAGCTGGACTTTCTTGACCTGGCCCCTTCTTTCAGACTGAGTTCCATCTTAGGACAAAGACGGCTCCTTGGTGTGTCACAGTGTCAATAAGAGCACTGATCTTCTTCCTCCACAATGACGTAAAAGCACGTTGAGGACACCAGTGCCCACAGTCGGCACAAACCAACACGTGGAGTGTCTCTCACCCATCCGCCCCCCTTGCATCAAACTTGAGATTCTGATACTTAATCCTGAAATTTCCTAAATGAACCCGCTTGCTCTGGGCTGGAGTTGCGAGACGCCACCGGAGGGGGAGCTCCTGGCCTGCAGTTCTGATGGTTCTTCCAAGTGATAGGCCACAGCTCCATGTTAGGAAGGGGTAGAAGGACCTTCCTCTTGTTCATGCCCAGCTCTCTAAAATCAGGGGCCCAGACTCGGTTTACCATACTACAGAAGAAGAGGGTACAAGAGGGCGTGCATAACTAAGACCTGCTTCAGAGGCCCCGGTGGGGTAAAAGTTACACCCAACTCCCAAGCTAAATTTCAGAAAGGCCTGCCAGTCATTTATGACGGCAAATACACAGACCTCAAGCCCCCCTCTAGTGAGTTTTGAATGGGATATCACCGGGGCGGTCGAACTGCCTGGAAAAGGAGCAGGTGCAAACATCAGTTAGTAGCAAAGTCAGGAAGCATCTGATAGGGGGACATGCCACTTTTGAACTCTCTCCTTTATTTATAAACAGAGGTAGAAAAGAACTGATAACGCTATTCCTTGAAGGCACTGCCTGAATACTCACCAACCCCTACATACCTGCTGACCAATGGCAGTATAAGGAGCCCGGAGTTTCCAGAATATTCTCTCCAGTAGATAACAGAGACCTGTTAGCCAGCAGAGGAGCCCAATTCAGTTCAACCAACATTGATTGAGCTACCTGCCAGACACTGGCCAGATGCAGGGACACGGGACTCCTGTAATCAAACATCACAGAGTATTTTGGGTTGTCTGAATATAAGCTTACCTACTGAATTTTGAGAAGATTGAGAAGGGGCAATAGGAAGTTACTGTAAATTCCATGAGTGAACTGAGTGAGAAACATATGGAAAGGCCTGAAGGTGGTCTCTTGGCCATTCTCTGCTCTCAGGAGAGTTCAGATAAAAATGACGGTGGTTTACCCTGTTCATAATACTGCTGGATGAAAGTGGCTTGGTGACTTCCTCCAGTAACATATTCTAATTCCTAACAACACTTACAATCAAAAAGTTTATCATGGCTTACCCAGATTCTCCTATTCAAACCCAAACGGTACCTGGTAGAAGGAAATTTCTCTCTCTCTCTCATTCTCTCTCTCTTTGTCTCCCCTTCTCCCCTCCCTTAACTTGAGGCTCTGTGATGACCAGGATGAGAAAGACTGAAGGTTCTCAGGAGGAATAAGGGCTTCTCAGTGAGGGAAAGACATTCTGTCCCCTATATCTTCAGCTGGAGTGAAGACCTGCCATTCTGTCTCTTTCCCAGTAAAGAGATGGGAATTAGTGGGCTCAGGGGGCTAAAGGGCTTTGAACTCCTTTAGGTAGTTTTATTTCTGCAACAAAGGGAGTATTTCTTTAAATGTCATTCTTTTCCAAATGGAGACTTTTTTTTCCCACTACTGATTCTGTTGTCTTATCAGCACTTCCAAAAGTTTTAACTTCTCTCTGATCTTTCGGCTCCAGAGGAAATCTCAGTGGGAGCTACAGTCAACAATTGTTGGGCCCAGTTCCCATTTCTCAAACCCCAACCCCATAATCCAAGCATATCAGGAGGGAGCAAGGTCCCATCCAGCCAAGCTCAGTTAATCACTCCTGACGCCCCTCACTGATCACAGTGACCTTTTGTAACTTTTATGTCAAAATTTGAGGACACTTGTTCTGAACCCAAGGGAAAGATAAACAGAACAAGGTTTGTCAGGTTCCTTGATCACCAGCCAGCTTCAGGGCAGGTCAGACCTGAACCCAGATGGTTTAGAACTAAGTATAAATTAAAGAACCCACAGCCAACCTGAGTCTTCTGTACAGTGGCCTCCCAAGTCCACTGTTAAGGCCCTTGCACAATGAGCTCTCCCAAGAGTAAGCCAGTGACCTTTCTCAACACCATTAATCAGCACCATTCAGGGCAACCAGCATTACTGGAGGCCAAGACTAAGGAGGGCTGATTTGTATAAGAATGTTGTACCTATTTACTCTGTGCACTCTGAAGTTGTCAACCAGCAAAGTGCATGGGCTGGGGAAATGCTGGCAAATTTTCAGGCCTTCTCTTCCAGGTAGATAGCACTCTTTATTCCCTTTGTCAGAAGGATGTTTGCATGAGCATCAGACAGGTCGAATGATGTCCCAGAACAATGAGAACCAGACAGTGGTCATGGCACTGGTTCTCAACCAGGGACAGTTTTCCCCCCCGAGGGACATTTGGCCATGACTAGAGACATGTTTAGTTGTCACAATTGTGGAGGTGCTACTGACATCTAGTGGGTAGAGGCTAGGGATGCTGCTAAACATCTTACAATGCACAGGACGTCAAGGAATTATCTGGCCCAAAATGAGCCGATCTCAGAGCTCACATGTGAACTGATTACATAAGTTAATCCCTACCCTCAACTACCCCAGGAACCTCTAGTGTCCAATCAACTTGACACCAAAATATTCTGCCCCAGTCCAAGTTAAAGCTGTGAACTCCACCTTTATAGTATATGATTGGGGGTCTGGACACTGCTGTTATTTTCAGTCCCCACCCTGCACAGTTTCAGGAGCCAGCAGAGCTGTGATATCATAACAGTCCCATGGCCGTCCTGTGGCAAATCAATGCAAACTGCATGCCAGGCTTTGGTCCACCCAAGGAGCTGCCATTACTTCACACACCAAAGTACGGGCCCCGCCACGTGTCCACCACACTGCCTAGCCACAGCCAGCTTCACACTTCCCAGGGCTGTGTCCCATGCTCATCTTTGAGTCCGGGTGCCCACTGCCTCCACCTTGGATCTCAGCTGGATACTCAGGGCAGTGGCCGCCACTGTGACTAACCACCCACTTTCCTCCCCTTCCAGGAGGCTGCCTGTGCTTACGTGTTGATCGTGACTGCTGTGTACTGGGTGTCTGAGGCAGTGCCTCTTGGAGCTGCAGCCCTGGTGCCTGCCTTCCTCTACCCGTTCTTTGGAGTCCTCCGATCCAGCGAGGTTAGACCACTTGTGGCCCAGCCCCCTGCTCAGGTCCCCACCGGGCCTATGTAAGAGGGCTCGAGGTGAAGGGAGATTCACAAAGCACTTGAGAAGGGGGCTTTTTCACCTTCTGGAACAGCCCATTGGCACTAAGCCTTTGTACCTACTGCTCCAGACCCTGAGTTCCTCTCCTTCAACCCATGACCCTCATCTCCCTGAAACTGCCTCTTTCAGGAAGCCTTACTTGCTTAATCACACCCAATTGCTCCTTCTTTGGTCTGAAACCCTCTAGGAACTGTATGATTGGTGTATACAACTAGGCTGCTGTCTATCTTTCTCAGTCTTTTTTACATCCATTTAGACTCTAAGCACTCAAAGACAGGATCGGGCCTCCCGGGTCTTTGGAATCTCATCACAAAGCTGAGCCCACATAGAGTAGGTGCTCAATAAATGCTTGTTGACAGAGAGACTTACCATGTTTCTCTGAGTCTGACAGTGTCTTCATCCACTTCCCCTAAGAATACAGTTCTGTTGCTTCTTCCTCAACTCAGTGTTCTTTCCTTGACTGCTGTCTACCTAGAGTCTGCCCTCTCTGTTCACTCTCTGTCTATGGCGTTCTTAAAAGCTCAACAGAATTTGTAAATACGAAGCCCAGATTGTGGCCAAATTTCAGGGCAAACGCCTAAGCATATTCCTAATAGGAAAAAAGAAAAACACAGCCAGAACTCAGGAGCAAGATGAAAGGATGGTCCTCATACCTGGTTCTGTTTGGACTGTCTCGTTATAGCATCTGGTCTCTGCCTAGAGTTTCTGATGAAGACTGAATGGTAGAATGAGAGAGAGGCACAGGAAAGAGGAAAGGGAGCTAATGTTCGAATGCCTACTAAGAATCGGGCACTATACTGGAAGTGCTGTATGAGTTATGCAATACTCCTGAGATCTCTACAAAGTGGATATTAATATTTCCAGTCTACAGATGAGGAAAGAGGCACAGAGAGTAAAAAACTTACCCAAGATCACAAAGTAGGAAGTAGCCGAACTGGATTCAAACTCATATCCGTTAGATTTCAAAGTCTGTACTGTTGCTTACTATACCAGAAGAAAAACACTCCATCAAGTATTATCTAGCTTCCTGGTGAGTTATTACTGGGAACTGTGGATCTCTTTTCCTGTGTGCTGTGAGGAAGGAATAATGAAGCTGGGCCTACAGGATCCCTTAACCACGGATAACAGAACTTTTTTGAAACGCCAAAGATAGAATTAGGCGATCTCCTAGTTGTTGAACTTGACTGCTGATGAATAGATTGTCTTTCTACTGGATAGACTTAAGTGGCCAGTTTTTTTGTTTGTTTGTTTGGGTTTTGGGTGTCTTGTTTTGGGGTTTTTTTGTTTCAGGGTTTTTTTTTTTTTTGGTGGCCTTGAGTAGCCTCAGGTGTTCCAAAAGGAATAGGATCCCCAAAACCTTCAGCAGTGCTTTTATTCCTGAAGATGGGTACAATACCAGTATCCTGGGGACCCACTAAAACTAGCCTGTGACCTGAATCACCAGGCAGTCATGCCAATTTTCCTCCTTCCTTTGTGGAAGAAGAATAGAGAGTTTGGGTCTGTGTGTGCCCAAAAGAACAATCAACCTTCAATATGGCTTTTCTTAAGAGGAGTGTATGAACTTGTTCTGTAGGTTTCTCTTTAAAATTGTAAAACCAAAAGCCAGTGAGTCAAGGGATGAAAGTAGAGGTCAGAGAAAAAATGAAGTTATAGAGGGGCCGGCCCCGTGGCGTAGTGGTTAAGTGCACGTGCTCCACTGCTGGCGGCCCGGGCCCGGATCCTGGGAGCACGCTGATGCACCTCTTGTCAGGCCATGCTGTGGCGGCGTCCCATATAAAGTAGAGGAAAATGGGCACGGATGTTAGCCCAGGGCCAGTCTTCCTCAGCAAAAAAGAGGAGGATTGGCATGGATGTTAGCTCAGAGCTGATCTTCCTCACAAAAAAAAAAAAATGAAGTTATAGAAAGAATTGAACCTTAAGTAACATTTTAAAGTGAGCTAACTAATAATTGAGAGACTTAGAGCTTTGTATTTCACTACAGGCAGCCCCAAAGCCAACAGCAGGCCTCAGCCTTAACGTAGATGATATCTCTGTTTCTCCAAGGGCTGCCTGCCATGTCAGTCCCCCCAGTGGGTGGGCCAGTCAGCCCCTCTGCATAGTAGAGAAGTTACTAGGCAACAGTTCATCCAAGGGCCCGCCCCTTTGCACAAACAGGAAGGCCAAACCTAGAAGGAATCTAGGAGACAGTAGTTTTCGAGGGTAACATGACTGTGAGGAGAAAAGGAAGACTGTCTGGTGAGAGACTGGGCGTTGTTATTGCTGAGGCTGGAGATGGGAAACCTTGGAAGAGCTAGAGGGCAAAGTTTAGCATTTTAGGTGAAAAGTCCTACCCCATCTGTCTGATAAAGTGGTTTTGGCTGGTGATGATATTTAGCAGTTGGGCTATAGCGAGCAGCTTAGGCCAAATATAGTCTGTTTAGCTGAGCTTCTACACTCAGATTCGAGGAAAATGCCAATAAGGTAGAGGATGTGGGTTAGAGCCCTTTGTGAGCCAGTTACCATTGCAGACAGAAAACACCTACTCCACAACCACAGGCCAAACTCCTACACCAGCGTGTGCTATGGCTCACCGAAAGAAGCCGGGCTGGGCATCTGCAGAAGCCCCCTCTTGCAGACAAATCATCTACTTGTCACTCCGCAAACCCCCCTTGTGCTTGCCCAGCCCCTTGCTGTGACTCAGGCCATTCTTCCACCTTGGAAAGTTCTCTCCAATTCCTTCAACTTTTAAAATACTACCCAATTACCCTCTTCGGTGGAGCCTTTCCAAAGACCTTGGCTAAAAGTGCTGTTCCCTTCCCTTGGATAAATGTACCATTTATCCTTTAAATGGTACATGAGATACAGGAGATAGAAACTTTCCACAGACATGTCCTCTCTCCACCAAGAGTCACACCCCCTGGGATTTATGATAATGACGTCTTATGGCCTGTATGCAAGCCATCCTTGCGCTAGCCCTCAGTTACTATTTCTTGATTACAGTGTTTCCTGATGGTGTATCAATAGTGTACTCTCCATATGAAGGAAGGCATGTGAATAGGATCAGTATGACTCTGGGACTGTGGCTTTTGTCCCTCATGTTATTCACTCAACATTCAGAAAAAATTTTTCTGAGTTCTGTTCCTAACATGTGCAATACAGGATGTTACAGGTACCCAGAAGGTGGCAAAAGTGAAACACATAATTCCTGCGTTTTTGAATCTCACAGCAGACACTTCTGAGTTTCCCACTGTCGGCTAGATGTGTGCACATAAATGGTTAGGGTTTTTTGTTTGTTTTTTTGGTGAGGAAGATTGGTCCTGAGCTAACATCTGTTGCCAATCTGCCTCTTTTTGCTGAGAAAGATTAGCCCTGAGCTAACATCTGTGCCAATCCTCCTCTATTTTTTGTATGTGGGACACAGCCACAGCATGGCTTGACGAGCAGTGCGTAGGTCTGCGTCCAGGATCCGAACCCATGAACCCCGGGCCACTGAAGCAGAGCGTGCAAACTGAACCACTACACCACTGGGCTGGCCCCAGTAAATGGTTAGTTTTTATGGTGACATGTTGGTCAGCAGGTATTGAGAGTTGTCTGTGTGCAAAGCTTAGACTGCCTTCTCTCTGCGGAACTGAGGTGCTAAAGAGACACGAAATGGTAGAAATGACTCCTGACCTTGGGAAGTTTCCATTCTAGCAGACAGCAAGTGTAAACCAAATGGAGAAACACAGAAGACCCTTTGCAGTAATGCCTCATTTTCTGGCATTGCAGAGAATTTACACAATTCCCCATGAGGGACTGTTCTAGATAAATGAAATTTACCCTATCAAGTGCCTAAACTTTACATTGACCACCTTTTGATTGAGGTCTTTCTAAAAGGCTTTATAATTTCCCTGGCCTTTTAAACAGAAGTTATTGAACATAAATTAACTTTTTCTTTGGAGACTTCAAAATTTCTGGGGAAAAAAATTTTCTTAATCAGAGAAGCGGATGTGGGCTGGATGCTAGCACAGTTGAGTAAATTGAGTGCTGGTTGAACAGCTGAACCTAAAGAATCTTGAGTAACATACTGGCACTGGACTGGAGAGAGAGCTCAAATGAAAATATAAAAGGCGTGTTATTGGATTTGCAGATGACTCAAAGATGGATGGGCTAGCCAATGTACAGTGACAGAATCAATGTTGATACCATGAGACAAGGAACTGAAACTGACAAAATGAAGTTTAATAAGGATAAACGTTAGCAGTTTGTGTGAAAAGACCCTTGGCTTTTAGTTGAGTACAAACTCAGTATGTCATCAGTCCAATGCGGCTGCCAGAATTTCCACCATTTACCATATGCCAGGCACTATGGGAGGTCCTTTACATGCATTGTATCCTTTAATCCTCTATAGAGTAGCTATTATTTTTATTTTCACTTTACAGAGGAGGAAACTGAGGTTCAGAGAGGTTAAGTAACTTACTCAAGGTTACACAGCTAGTAAGTAGTAGAGCCAGGACTTGAACCCAGGATTGTATGATTCCAGAACTTGTGCTCAGAACCACTGACCAATCCGTACTGAAATCTGCTGACTTAACAAACATCTGTGTCCAGAGCATCAAATTCTGGATAAGGAGGTCATTCAGAGGTGGGTAGCCAAGACGTCAAAACTCTAGAACGTGAGTCACATGAGGAATGAAGAGAAGACTCCAGAGAGGTGTGATTTCTGGCTTCTGCAGCTCAACATGCCAGGCTCAAAGGGTCAAACCAGAACCAAAGCCTCAGAGCGCCATGAGGGAGGTCCCGCTCTGTGGGAGGAAAGACTCTGAAGTGGGCCGCCATGCGTGGTCCTCGTGTTCCTGTCCCTGAAGTGAAGCCAGATGACCACGTCAGGGACGTTAGAGACAGACTTCACATCTTGGGAGGGAGTTGGATGCTAAGGTCCCTTTGACTTTAGG